TGTGCTCTGATAAGTGGTCGTCCGTTGGGAACGCCTACCACCAGAGGATTGGGTTCATTTCCCTGTGAAGCCTATCAGCTGATTAAGCGTTTATTTCGCAATTTGCAAGCACCCAATGTACCAAAGCCGACTGACGGGACTCCTCGTTCTGGTGCCACTTGTCAATCATGTGCCTTTGTGCTCGCGTATCGGCTTGGTGGCCGGTGGTGAAGAGGGCGTTGAGTCGGCTCGAGACCTTAGCCGCCTCTTGTGGTTTATCTCAAAAGGATGGACTTTTCCATGCAGCCCCGTGTCTCTCAGCTTTCTCTGCCTTTCTGGCGGAGTCGGTTTCCTGGTAGTGCGTTTGGAGACAATCCCCTCAAGCGATCATTAGTGCTAAATGTCTTGCTCGGGTGTAAATACTGCAGCTGTTGGACATCTACTGTTTCATGACCACCGACTGCGAAATACTCAGTTTACGCTGACCTATGGGGCAGTAAGAAGCTAACCAGAATAGGGGGAGGGGGTATGGAAGACATTGGTGGCCCTTTGCTGGCAGCCGACTGGCACTGCGAGACTGGGTGTGGCCGCACGCCTAGGTGCGGGTCTACGCCGCGCCAGCCACCTGTCTCCTCTCTTACTTTTGGTCATTGCACCTGGCCTGGTGGGGGAGGAGGAGAGCGTGGTAGATGCTGCGCGAATCACGCGCAAGTCGCCGTGCCAATAGAAACGAAGAGACGAGTCTCAGGAGGTAGTCTTGAAGAAGGAGACACGATCGCCGGGACAAGAGCTTTATTAGCCTGACGTTTCGGATTCCTACTCGAATCCATCATCAGAGACAAAAAAGCAGAAACGGGTGGTTGCTGCACAAGCGGCTGTGGTATTTATAGGATGCAGTAGCCATGCTACCGCATACCTATGAACATTCACGGCTCCCCCCCTTCATCCGGGATCGTCGCGCTTGGTGTGATCATTGCTTGATGGCCGACATTCGCGTCGTTAATTGCTGCAATTCCATCACGTGCTTTGGATGTTGGCGTGATGATTGCTCGACCATCTGATGCACCAACCCCGCTGTTGGGAAAAGTGTTCCGCCTAGGCGAAGTTTTAGCACGGAGTATGGAATGGGAAGCTCGTTGCACTTGTTGATGGACTGGGGGCCAGTAAACCATGATTCCAGTAGCTCCCGGCTCATGCGGTTGTCACCTCTTGCGAGAATTTCGGCCTCATCGGATTTGAATGTGTGGCCGGATCTCGCGAATGAGCCTCAACTATAGAGCTGGCGTCATTTCTGCGCACCACTGCCGCGTGTTCGGCCATTCTCGTTCGGAGCTGTCTTCCTATAAATACCGCAGCCCCTTGTGCAGCAACCACCCGTTTCTGCTTTTTTGTTTCTGATGATGGATTCGAGTAGGAATCCGAAACGTCAGGCTAATGGAGCTCTTGTCCCTGCGATCGTGTCTCCTTCTGCATGTCGCCGTCCCTGCACTCTCCTGGGGAACAGATGGCGGGCATCGGTGACATGGACGGTTGACATTATCATGGTGAGATGGAGGTGAACCATCGTTGTCACCCCTCCAACGCGGTCGGCGTTCACTGGCTGATATTCTTCTGCCATCGCGTGTGCTACCTGGAGTCGGTCTCTGTGCAAATTTATAGCCGCAGTACTGCAGAACAGGTGACTTTGTTTTTAAAACATTGGCCCTGCCGAAGAAGGTCAGAAAAGCGTGGCCGGTAACAATCGCGAGATGGCACCCAAAAAATCCGCCTAACGAAAGCAGCCTGTCTTAGGGGACAGGTGGCAATAGGGGTTTTATGGGTGATGGCTGGTTGCTGGTGGGGATGTACGATACTAGCTGACAGAAAGCCTTATTTGAACAGGTGAATGAGTGAATTTGGTCCGCCCTCCGTCCCGTTATTACAAAATGGGTCGCCAAAGGCAGTATAGTGGTAACGGACGAGTGGAAGGCGTAAAATCGTCTTCTCTCAGAAGGTTATCTACATTTCTCTGTTAACCACTCAAAGAACTTCAAGGCCCCTACCACCGGACGGCACACCAATGCCATTGAGGCATACTGGAGTAGACAGAAAAGGAAACTCCACGAGGGAGGCCCTGTATGTGATCGAGCTGTGTGGGCTTACGTAGACGAAGTACAGTATCGTCTTTGGTTTGGCCTCAATACCATATTTTTGTCAGATGCCTGGAAACTGTTCCTGTCCCATGTTGTGCAGACTTATCCTATTTAAAATTGATTTTGTTTTGTAATAAACTGCCATAATGCAAATGTATGCCGTATATTCAGGTGCATGTGTGTAACGATGGGGAAGGTTGGGTAACAGCGACCATCGTCCATGTAACCTCCTGCGATGTTCGTTCGGCCAGCCCATGTTAGGCCGTCGCGGAAAGTCCGAGTAGTGCGTGAAAGTAGGCCTGCAACCGCTGATATGGCATGAAGGCGCTTGAGTCCACTGTTGGAGGTATTTTTTCTAGGTAACGCCATTTTTTGGGTGCCATCTCCCGATTGTTACCGCGTGGCCTTCCAGGAACAACTGTCCCTAAGTGCGTACCCATCTATTTCCGCCTATCCATCTAGCATGCTGTTCTAGACAAATAGGCTGACTTCTTTGATGCTGATAACGTATCAAGCGGGGAGGGCCACTATGGTTTCGGGGTGGACAATTTGGTGGCTTTGGTGTTATTTGAATTACGGTGGGGCAGACTTGGGTGGCACCTGCTTTACTCTTCCCATGACCTGATGGCAAGAAAAGGTTGAGACGATGATAGAGGGAGCGCGCGCCTATCGTCTCGTTGTGCCTTTGGGCTCTCCCTCGAGCCCCGCTAACAGCCGCACCACGGCGCGTAATATGGGCAGAGTAGCATTGCCCATAGAGACAAGGGAGACTGGGATGGCCATTTTCGGCCTATTTGCCGTCGCTAGCCAGCCAGTAACACGATCGGTGCGCCCCCTCAACCATCGTTAATGTATCCGATCGCAACTGACAGGACAACAAGCCCCTGACTCAAGTATTAGGGCGCTGAACCTTCTACCAACAGGTCGCGAGTTTGAATGTGGCTGACTAATGGACAGAGTAAGGACGACATTGTCTCCCGAATTGATGCTGTCCGCTGGGTTTTCTAAAGCCTTCGGAAATGCCTGTGGAACCGACGTGACCTCTCCATCGCCACTAAGATTCGCGTGTACCGTGCATCTGCCCGGTCTGTCCTTCTCCACAGTTGCGAATGCTGGGCTTTGCGCGTGGAGGACGAACGAATACTGGAGGTATTTGACCACCACTGCTTGAGAACCATCCTTCGAGTGAAGTTTACCGACTTCGTCTCAAATGAGACAGTCCGCGCTCGCTACGACAACATCGCAAGGATAACTCAGGCCATCCAAGAAAGACGACTGAAGTGGTTCGGGCATGTTCTTCGTCGTCCACCTCAGAAGCTCAGTGTTACTGCCCTCGATCCGGCACCGCTGCCCCATTGGAGGCGTCGAAGAGGGGGTCGGTTCAAAACCTGGCTCGACACTGTCCGTCAAGACATGGAGGTGGTTCTTGGACCTTCGGTATTCGGTCATCGTCGTTAGCGAAGAGAATGGGTTGAGCTATCCAGATCTGCTGCCGCGGACCGTCATGCCTGGAGAGGCACAGTTCGTGACATCATCAAGGCCGGCTAGATCAGGCATGATCGCAGCCCTATCAAGCACAAAGTAAGTACTACCAAGTCGGAAGTGGTCACTCCAGTCTCCCCTGTCTTTGTCGGTTAGGTTGAGACAGTCGTGGACGCAGTGGCCAACAAAATTAGATGGCCTGTGTGTGCTTTCCACACGAGCCGCACCACGGCGCGTAATATGGGCAGAGTAGCATTGTCCGCAAAGGCAAGGGAGACCGGGAGGGCCATTTCTGGCTTATTAACCGTCGTTAGTCAGTCATATCCTACCTCGAAGTCTGCAACACCCGAGGCTCGAACTCGCGACCTGTTGGTCAGAAGTCAAACGCCCAAACCGTTGAACCATGGGTTTCTCCTGTCATATTACATGCTGCTGTGCGGCTGCTGGTGGGACTCGAGAGAGAGAGCTCCATGACACAATTGGAAGGAGGAGTTAAGTAACACGATCAGTGCGCCCCCTCAACCATTCTCAATGTATCCGATCGCAACCAACAGGACAACAAGCCCCTGAATCAATTATTAGGGCGCTGAACTATTTATCTACAGGTCGCCAGTTTGAACCTCGTATCTGAATGTGGCTGACTACTGACGGCTAAAAAGTTGGAAATGGCCATTCCAGTCTCTCTTGTCTTTGTCGGTTAGGTTGAGACAGTCATGGACGCAGTGGCCGACAAAATTAGATGGCCTGTGTTTGCTTGCCACACGATCTGGGTATTGAGTCCTACAACAGCCAAACCTCGAATACGATGTAATCTCGGATCCCACATATACGCATGAGAGATGTCATAATGATCACATTGGGGAGACCATTTCAGTCTCACCCTCGTTGACGATGAGGGTCGAAGAAGAAGACACGATCGCCGGGACAAGAGCTTTATTAGCCTGACGTTTCGGATTCCTGCTCGAATCCATCCTCAGAGACATAAGCAGATAAGGGTGGTTCATGCACATGTGGCTGCAGTATTTATAGGATGCCGTAGCCATGCCACCGCATACCTATGAATGCTCACGGCTCCCTCCCCTTCATCAGGGATCGTTGCACGTGGCGTGATGGTCGATATTCGCGTCGTTAATTGCTGCAATTTCATCACGTGCGTTGGATGTTGGTGTGATGATTGCTCGACCATCTGACGCGCTGACCCGGGTGTTGGGAAGAGTGTTCATCAGGACGCTACCCGCGTGGCCAATTTCTCCCCCTAGACGAAGTCTCAGCACGCTGTATTGAATGGGAAGATCATTGCACTTGTTAATAGACTGGGGGCCAGTGAACCATGACTCAAGCGGCTCACGCGGTTGTCACCTCTTGCGAGAATTTCGGCCTCGTCAAATTTGGATGTGTGGCCGGATCTCATCGAATGAGCCGCAACTTGAGAGCTAGCGTCATTTCTCCGCACTGCTGCAGCGTGTTCGGCCATTCGCGTGCGGAGCTGTCTTCCGGTTTCTCCGACGTAGTTGCTTTGTCCGCAACTGCACCAGATCCGATAAACGACTCCAGACGTTTCTTGCCGTGGCAGTGGGTTTTTTGACGCCTGATGGTTGCCTCTGGCCTGTGTGCAACTCCAACCCCCAGCGGTGCGAGAAGGCGGCCAACAGCTTCCAAAACGTTCTTGACATATGGAAGCGCTCGCCAAACTTTGGTGTCCCTGCGGTTAGGCCTTTCGTCCATTTTGCGTATGCACCGGTTGACAAAGTTGCTCGGGTAGCCATTGGCTTTGAATACCCGTCGGAGGTATTGTAGTTCAGCAATTTTGTCTTCCGGCTCACTGCAGTGCGTTTCGACACGCTGAAAGAGCGTCCTTACACAACTGCGTTTGTGGCTGATTGGGTGGTTACTGTTGAAGTTCAGTACTTGCATCGTATTTGTCGCTTTCCTGAACACTTTGGTCTTTAGTCCACCACAATCCTTGCGGCATACGAGGACATCCAGGAAGGCCAGCTGGTTGTTCTCTTCCTCCTCCATCGTAAATTGTATGTCCGAGAAGACCGCATTCAGACGTTCCTTGAATGTCAGCAGTTGATCCCGATCGATAACGACGAAGGTATCATCCAGATACCGGGCCCAGAACGTCGGTTTGTGGTGTTGGAAGACCAGCGACTCTAACCGTTGCAGGACCGCCTCGGCGATGAATCCCGAAATCGGCGAACCCATTGGTGTGCCCTTCACCTGTTCGTAGATTGGCGATGAGGGTCGATCTATTCCGTCTGTGGATCACCTTAACCATGACTGCTACCGCGTTGTGCTGGTCTCGGGTTTATTATACTAACGAATGCGATAGATTGTCGAGAATAGGAGTACCTCAGTGCCACCTTTATTCCTGTTTCACTGTCGCACACACAGGTGGCCTCTCCTTTCTCGACTGGCCGGTGCTGAAAGCGGACCTGACGGCTGGCGTGACATGATCCTTCATCTAACGCGTGTGCGGTAATAGCCAGAGATCCAGTCTGACATTGACGCATCGCGCGAGTAAATACTGGTCCCGTTTTCATTTTACACGGCAGCGATGCGGCCCTGTGGAGGGTCGGTGGATTGCCGACCGATGTGCGATTTGGGTTCCGCCCTAAAAGTAGGCTATGTGTCAAGAAGAGCCGCAGTTCACACGTAGGCAACGGTCTGGCGTTTTTGGTCGACCGAGTAATTCGCCCTACGTTGTCATTTGGGCGTATTCCACTTTGAGAACTGTAGAATGTACCCCAAAAATTGGGAAATGTTCACTGGTAGAATCCCCAAAGTCTGAAAACCTAAACGCTTCGCATTTTTACGTGCATCTATTTGTGACATCCTGATCTCGCGTGACCCACTGATCTTGCTTAAACACGGCTTCTCGGCGCACTGGTCATGGCTTCTATTACATGCTACAGGTCAACTACATCACGAATACTTGCCCTCTACTGCCGTCGCTTGGCATCATACTCACGAAAGACGTTGGACCGGTTGCGACTTCGTGATCAGGACTACGTCCGTGGCTGATTTTCACTTCGTCCACTTTGATCTCGCTGGGCTCGTATGAGATAACAACTGGAGGGCTTTGTCTAGCGGTGTTTTCGGTGAATTCTGTCGTTTGTGGGAAACTGTTCTTTCTATCCTACAATCTAGTAGGACTCTCGGAGATATTTTCTGTTATTCTGGACATATATTCATATATCATACGTGGGGACGTATTCAAGCACCTGGGAAGGCGGTCTTAGGCTTTTTAATGGGTTCAGGCAACCGGTCAGTCTCACCATTATTGCTGCCATTTCTCACTGTTTAATAATAGCTAACGCCTCACGCAGTGGGCACATCCTATACTCCCGTCCTGACAATTTAAACCCCACAACGATTAGATGGTCGCATACCGATATGCAACCTCCTATCCGCTCTACTGATCGGTAGAAGGCGGCTTTCTTATTCTTACCGGTTTTCAGAGCTTACATTGCTGTGGACGCCGCAACATTAGTTGAGAATAACGATTGCGTGACTTGCGTACTGATAGAAATTCAGCAGTCTGGCGAATGTGTGGTCCCCATGTCGTGTGTATTTGTCTCATAGGGCGTTGTAAGTAGAAAGAAACTCCTTGTCAACTCACGCTCGTCTTGTGTCACTGCTAGGGACGTTTTACACAGTACGTAATCGGGGTAAGACACGAATTTGAACCTCATATTCCATATCAATATATCGTGTCTACTTATTTGGTTTAGGTAGCGTGGTATATGCACTTTAAACAGTGCCGCCTCTTTCTACCAAAAACAATTTACGTGGTGTGGGCTTGTTGCCTGCTTACTGAATTAAAACATGACAAAGCTTAACTCTTCGCATTTGGTCAGCCCTGTCACTGTTGAACAGTGACCGTTCACGCTCCAGACAGTTCGTGAAGCAGTCCAGCTACCGGCAGGCAACAGGCAGTCCGTCCTTCGTAGTCACTTTTCAATGCTTCAAGACACCATCATGTCCTTTGTGTGGTGACGGTGACCCACTTGTCAACCGGAACGTCTCTCCCCTCGTCAATGTCATTGGATGGCCGTTGCTCGACAGTACTCTGTCTAATGTACCCTGCCGTCGCTACACTGCCAACGATTGTCACGCGTAAAGCAAAGTTCCCAGCTGGTCCTTGTAAATAACGCTCATCGTCCGAATTAAACCACATCCGGCAAGGTGTGAATGAGAGGTAATTATCAGATGTTTACCACGCTTGACTAAAACGGATTCAGACACAAAAGGGGTTTATGAACCAATAACATCTAACGGCAGCAAAATCAGAATACGCGTCGGGGCCAGTCGAAACCGGTTAGTGTTGTGCATTCCCGCAGAAAAGTTCCGATGTGCAAGAAAATGAAAAGAGGACATTGGAAAAGTGTGCGTATAGTTACAAGACTGATTCTGGTTTGTGAAGGCAGAACATACGGTCGAAACAATATGCAAAACAACAACCACTCTCGTCCCCATTCATCATTATAGTCTGGCGCGCCCGAATACATCAAGACGCGTTAAGGATCGTGATTTGGAAGGTTGCCAACTGATGTGTTAATTCAGACCTTCTCGGGATCTGAGGCAGAATCTGTACAAAATGCAATTCATAGTTTCTGAATTTGTAGTCCGTTAAGAAAAATTATGAGCGAGCGGTGGAAAAAGCGCCACTTAAAGATTTAAAAATGATTCGATTAATTTTACAGCAGCAAAAACCCCTCGATAAAAAAATAATAACAGAAAAGTGTGGGCAGGACTGGCCTGTATGTGGCGGTATATAACGGATTATAATCGGACGTCGTCGGAGCAGAAATAAATGTCAGCCTTGAGGGGTACATATGCGGGTCGGACAGGACTGGTCTGCATGTGGTATTGTATGCGGGATTCAGAACTGACGTCGTCAGGTCAGGAGTGATACGCTGGATGAGACTATTCGCGTCAAAGAGGCCAGACGAGGGGAACCCGGACGCGATCGGCTACAGTACGCTCCGAGCCCAGCCGAGGAGTTGGGAAGGGAGGTACGACCAAACTACTAGTAGACGGCGAATACCGAGGCTTCCGCCGTGAGCGTCGACAGACCGCGCGAGGTCGGAATGCGGGAGATGACATCAAAAACCGCGAAAATTGTCGCTATGGGGGAGGAGTGGTAGCAGTGGATTTATAAACCAATTCAACACAGGGTTTCTAATGATATAATTGAGATGGGTCGTTCAGTTTTGGCAGTCGCCGCAGCAACGCCAACCTTCTGTTCTTTTGATTCCGATAGGCGCCGGATGAGGCAAGAAGGGAAAAGGGTCAGATCCGGCAGGGGTATGTTTTAATGTGAACAGATTCCCGCACAATTCACCGCTGTTGGGCTTAACTAGTGACGCAGCTGTAGACGTCGTCCTTCACAATGATCAAAGAGGAGAAACCACACAGGAATTTCGGTCGGACTCGCGCCTAAGAGCAAAAATTCCGATGTTTACTTACAGCCCAAGAAATTTCGTCAGCAGTATAAGCACTGTTGATGAGAATCCTTCCCTGTTGTTCTTCTGCTCTTCAAATGCAGTGCCGTGTGTGTGATGAAAGGCAACAGAAACACTTATATCTCACTTGTTCCTCACCCTAATCCTGCTTTCACCTGGTCAGTATGCCATGGAGGAGCATTTTTGCTGTCTTTTTCGCTCTCCACAGGACCACTTTATCATCATGAAAAGGCCATCGACCCTGGCGTGCCACTTCGCGCTTTTGAGAGCAACTGCCGTGGTGGTCGCCCATTCGTGAAGGGCGTCGTATATGCCTATTTTAATCGGTTCAGTAGGTAGTGTTTCGTCATTTTTCGTGAGTGAACCAAAATTTTAAGGCAAAATCTGACTAGGCGTCTTGGACGCAGTCATGACAGAAGGCTCTTATCACGAGTTCATTAAGCCTCTGGGTTATACATATTCCCTCTCTAGGTAATGTTCTTCGTGATCGTGTAGTCAACTTAAAAAGCAAATGCAATACGTGCCTACTTCACGCACATGCCGTTTTCTTTTTTGCACCTCGGCTCTGGGAGACTAGTCTGCAGTCAGAATTTGCAAAAACATGCCTTTTTGTCAACGGAACTCTGCTGCTTCACTTTTAGCTAATCGGTTACATTTATGAAGTGGTTAGTTCACAGGCTTCAATTTTTCTCATCTCAAAAAACCTGCTACTTCGTACCAGACTACATTGTATACTTGAAGGAGTTTTGTCCATCCAACCGTGTGTCTGCAATAAAACGAGGAAAGGCTGCCACTTGTAACTGTGTAAGGCACCACAAAACTGAATACGTTGTTTAAGTGAAGTGAAAGATGGCACTTAAGCACAGACCCAGAATGGAGACGGTGTGATGGAGTGTCAATGAAGATACCGGTGCTTCTTTCATTCTCAGTTGCTGACCCTCGCCCCCACAGCTGTCGTCGTCACAGATCGTCTCGCGCTCCCTCACTCAACGCTGCGCTTCACACCGGTGATCTAACTGACATGATAGAGCGTCCCCCCCCCCCCACTGCGGATGGGACTATTGTACAAGTAGCACTCCTTCTCATATTATATTGCACCCTTAGTATGCAGTTACGCATTTCTTGTTGCTAGTATAGTTTCATACGCTTCTGTCACTTTTTCTTACAACCTCTGCACGTGTTCGAATTGGTACTTATCAGATCTATCCAGCGTTCCCACGGACTGTGAAACGACATCAGGTGCTTACTTATCTGTGTGTGTGCGTGTCAACCTCAACGTAATCGGACGCTAAAACTGCGTCCTCGAGTTGTTGTAAGAGAGCATTGTTGCAATGCAGAGATGCAGGGCAAGCGAGTACTACTTGAGACTCTGGTCCGCGTAACAGCAATCAATTGTGACTACCATGATAGGTTTTGGATTTGCCCAAAAATTCAAGCATTTAAGGTGGAGCCGTATGATCTTTACGGTTCAGTTTGCTGCTGATAGGGCCTCATCTCCGTCAACACCAGGGGGTTTTGATGCTTATGTTACCTCCGACTACTGTACTGCTGAGGGTGGTCGTATGATGATAGTGGACAATTTCCTAACTGCCTATCAGCGTTTTTGCGTGCATTTCTGTCCCATTTTATCTAGATTCCATATTAAACATTTACGACTCTGATGTCATCTATTTGCCTTTAAAATACGCAGACAATTGGTGCTGTTAGAATTCATACACCGTCTTTAAATTTTACCCCCAAATTCTCTGTGTCTCGGTGAGTAATCGGCGACTATTTTCATAAGTGGCCATTATTAGTTACTGGCAAGAAAGTCAGCTTTAGCTAATCATTCGATTTCCTCATCGCGCCAGGCCTGGTCTGAGCAGTGACCCCTGATGTGTACGTACGTCGAGCCAAGGGGACTGTTGTCAGCCTGATGGATTGAGTGGAACATCAAAGACCCATCTGCACGAAATCGCCCAGGCAGACGACGCTCACTTATAGAGCGCGGAAGCTGAGGTCGGCGGGAAGCGGCCACGCCTGAGCAACCGCATCTACTGACAGGCGAAACCGGATCATGTTTACTTCGAATGTCTCATCCCTAGACAAAGTGGGGTTTGTTTTGTACGGCTCCGTCGTTGACATGGAACCAGTCGTGCTTCAACAGACGAAGCTGGAGACTTTGCATCAAGTCAGTCGCTGAGCCAAAATACATCTCCGGTTCTCTTGGTCCAGTCTTGTAATTGAAGCTTGCTGGGTGTGGGGAGGGGGGGTGCGATAGATGCTGTGCAAGTCACACTCACCACGATCTGATGCGCTCATGTTGCTACTGTCTCGGGGCCAATGGTTGCCTTCACTGCCCGCTGCGAATAAAGTCAAGGATCGAGCCAAGAGCTCGGAAATCATACGACCCCCTACCACAGATCCCAACCGGAGTTACCAGGCAAAGCGGAACGGCTCACATCCCGCCCGTTCCCTCCGCTCAGCTGGTGCTTTTGCGGGATTGTCGAAACGGTGCATTTTTGGGCGTTAGTTAGATATCGTCGGTAGAACGCTTTGCTTAAGCTTTCGAATGCTAAAGATACCGTCGTAAGCGAAGGAAAAATTCGTAACGCGATAAACTCTGAAGTTGAACCAAAATCCCTCGCCAGTCTGCGATGGTCTCTTGAGAGTCATCAGTCGCTTCAATTTGCTGGATCTAGTGATGAGCTTGAGAAAACTAAGAGTGGGCGGATCTGAAACAATTACCGTCATCCTTCCGCGCTTCAATCCCTCACCGGTTGCCTTTCAAGTTGCAGGTGCTCTTGACTGAACTTCACTGAATCTTACTTCATCTCGGTTCACAGATATTGATGTGATTAACTACTTATAGAACATAAAGCAGTCAAACTCCGGAATAAGATCACCCTCCCCCTCCCCCGCATTACTATAGATGACCTTACGCCAGGTTTCAAGGGGGAGATTCCTGTTGCCCTGTCCTAACCTCAATGCTAGCACTTACCCTAACCATAACTTGATTCTAACCCCCTAACTATAACTATAACCCCTTGGAATTCAGGACAGGGCCACATGTATTATGAAGTGGTCTACGTTCCCACGCACAACTCATCAAGTGCCCAATGGGACCAGAACGGTAAAAATAGTCAAATTCACTGTCAATGAGGTTAGAAGTTTTATTGAGGTCTTGTATGCCGCAACATGCCAGTATGCAGTGTGGACCTCCACAAACTTATCTTGACAATCTGACGGATATGGCAAGTGGTTTGGAGTGCTGCGTGTAGAAAATGGATGTTCGTTACAGTAAGTAGTGCGCTCATCGATCAGGTAACGGGAGGTGTTCTTCCCCTCGCACCTTGCGAGTCAATATAAAGCCCTCGCAGGCAGTTACTTAGCGACCAACGATCAAGCCGCAAGTGGTACCGACAAAAGAAGGGGAGATTGGAATGGTCATTTCTGGCTTATTAGCCATTTTCAACCAGTCATACCCAATCGTAAGTTTGCCGGACCTGAGATTCCAGTCCGATATCTTCAACATTGACTAACTACATCATCACAGGCAAAGGGGGTAGGGAGAATCTTTAAAAATGTTGTAATAACTGTGAAACAACCCGGGTTCCATAAATACAAGAGTGGGAGGGCCGTTAGCAGAGTTGACACACACAAGCATTCTGTTGATCCATTTTATGTACCGCTTCGGATTGCCATACCGTTGGGGGACAGATTAGGATTTTGATGACGAACAAGGTGTTTCACCAATTAGCGCAAATTGTCCTGTCGGTTGCAACAGTGCTGCCAATTTAAGTTGCAGCTTGATCAGTATCATGCTTCAGTCAGTTTCACCTTAAAGCGTTACTCATATTCATATTCAGTATCTGTGTTTAATGTATTCCCTGTTTTTCCTTAGTCACTCCTACTAAAACTCACCGATGTTCCATTAATTCACAAATCTGCAACCAGAGCGTATACGCCAGTCTTTGAATCCTCCCCTTATAACCCCAGCCCTGTTGGTCAGATTTGAGCTACAATCACCTTCCGATTCCCCAGTAGGCAATAGGTCTGTCAGATGTATCTTTGTGGCGACTGAGTTTTTGGGTTACCTTGAGCGCCATGAGCAAAAGGCCAAGTCTCTGGTTAGCAGGATATGACGGAAGACAACGGAATTAGGGGATCATTTTGTACGGAACCCCGAGCAGCTCTTCCACTCAGCATCTCCACTTGCGAGGTCATTATGCCTGCCGACAGCGGTAGGGGATGCCTGAGAGAGATGCCAGCTACTTTTATACGTGCATCGGAACTAGGTTAATATTTTGCACCAGGAGGTTTCGTAGTGAAGGCCGGTGACCCTGAGTTGCTCAAGTCCCTAAAAGAAGGGTGCTTTATGCAATGGTGGCCGTCGGCTGCATACACAACTGTGCCAACCACTATCGGTTCCATTTGGTCGGCAGAAAAGGCGAAACATGTTCACAACTCAAGTCTCTCCGGTTATCCACATTTATGAGTCATCGTATTGGCTAATTGCTCCGATTTGAAAATCTGCGGCATCACTCTCCACTACTCCTCTGGAATACCGGTGCGTGCCTAGTATTCGAAAACAAAATTTTCGCTTTAAAGTCGAGTAAACAAAATTATTTATTCCCCACCAACGTCTGATTTTGCAAGCTTTTTACAATCATTCACTGCGGAAATGTTGACTAGTACGCGTTAACGACGCTCGCCCATAAAGCTGCTTTTGCTGCATAGCTGGCCTTAAACTGTGACATACAACGACCTCCAGTATCATGAACACGCACAGCGCCGAAGTCCACATATCTAGGCACGCGTCAAACAGAGAGCTTACGCTGCCTGCTCGCGTACACCTGTCTGTAAGCCAATAGGATTGCAGAAGAGCTGGTTCGTTAAAGCATCAGCCAATGAGAATCCCGGCACGTCTGCCAGCGATTCAGTTATTAAAGGATAACTCTGGGACGACACTCCATTCGGACACGAGACGAGGACACGCCTACCACGGAAGACATGGCAGCAAATTCAACCGCTAGATGTTGTCGTAAACTCTTTCAGGACACTGCTCCACGAGCAGCAGTTCAGGATACAATGAAGAATCTCATGCGCTTGGAGGCAGAGCGAATGGCAACCAAGTGGAACTTCGACGTGACCAAGGCTAGCTCCTACACACCGGTGCCTGAGCCGACCACAAGTTCTCACCCGACTTTGCAATGGCAGCTCTTCCAACCCAAGGCCTCCTTCTATGCGAGATCACCACGGCGTCTGAAGGCCCGCAGACGACTCAACCCCAGCCTTGCACAGAAACTCTGTCAAGAGCTATACGGGCCGCGGAGGACGCTCTCAGACATTAACTTTAGTGGTCTACTGGGTCCCGACTTCAAATTCGGATCCCCGCAGCCAGAGCGTGGGGTGGCACAACGACTGACTCCGGAAGAAACGCCGGGATTAACTGTAGGCCACGTGGTTGGTACGCTTCCAGTTTCATCATCCTTGCCCAGCGGCAGTACTGATGAAGAGCCTGCCTGTCCCTGCTCTTCCTTCGCCGAACCGACCTCAATGTTTGGGGAATTTTTCCAATGCAATCAACACAGTCCGATTGCGGAGACCATATTCGGACCCAGACCAGCAAATACCCTCAATGCTAACAATGAGCAAGTCCCCACTGGGAAGAGAAAGTCCGAGGCCAGGGTCACCGGTGAGTTAAAAAGCATATTTTAGGGTTAATGTAGTGTACTTGAAATGTTCTGTGAACCGATCCTCGTCAGGGACCTTTAAAATGCCGTGCAGAAATCTCAGTCATTGGTAAATTACTCACACATTTCTTAAGATGGGACACTGACAACCAATCAGACTCTGTGACCTGCTATAGGAAACTTAATTAAATCGGTCTGCAGGTTTGAATTATTGATCGCCACAATTAGATTGGCAGTAAGAAACGGCAAATCGAATAATGCCAAACACCTGTTAGGCGACTGCAGGGTGGATTTTTCCCCGGCTAGATCGCAATTGGTAGTCAGGAATGGAGAAGCGGACGGCTACCTTAACCCTAACCTCAACCTTAAACGTTATCCGTTAACCTTAAAGGCTACCCTAACCCTAGCCGAAATCGTAAGTGTAACCGTAGCCCTTAGACATAGCCGTAACTGAGAACCTAATCATAATACGGAAACTTAATCGTACGCTCAAACCCTGACCGTAACCCGAAAACCTAAGCCTAAGGGCATAACCCTAACCCGAAAATCGGAAACCATTAACCGGTATCCTAATCTTAACCTCAAACGTAAAATGGAAGCCTAATGGGTCAGATGTGATTATGGAGCCCCACAAAATAGCACCAGTAAACAAACCCTCCCACCGTCTGCAATACGGGTCCTGGTTACCAACTGCGATCTAGCCTTTTCCACCGTTTATGCTTACTTATTTGACTCTACCTCTCACTCAAGGACCTTATTTGCTAGACTCGTTTAATGCCCATTCAATCTTTTGTCCCAATCAAAGTGACTATTGCCTCTTACTGTGTCCTCCCTCGCCCATTTCAGACTTCTTCGTTATTAACCGACGTCCAAAAGTTGCGAAAAAATAGCAGTTCTGTCAATGGTGAGTGTTCTATCCTGTTCTCTGTCACCTTTGATCACAGTTCTTTTTTTCGTTTGTGCGCCATGCCTGGCGTTTTCAGTTTACTGACCGCGTCTTTGTTCGACGGTAGGAGACGCGCCGGTAAGGCACGCATACGGACGCACTTAGAACCGCTCGCGCGACCGGACACGTGCCGGTGTGCTACCACTTCACCAGGGTGGGGGGGGGGGGGCTGGCCCTGTGTGCACGTTTGTGTTAGAGTTCAACATCCGGTTGGTCATGAAAATTAATGTTTCGGTATTCTAACCATCTGTTTCCGGGTCTGACGAATGTACGAAGAGGTTGGCCGTTGTTTAGACTGATCTCGCGCCGTCCGCAATAAACCCCGTCAGTGTAGCACGTCACATTAGTTTGGAAAGTTTCGTTGATAAATATCGGGTGTCTTTCGGTCGATCAGAACTTGGGTGTCTGTAAAGAGATCATTTTCTCTCTTAGCTCCAGGAGCCAGCTTTATTGTCACCGCAGGCTGTGATGGAATGATCCGCCAGAAACAAGTTCTACATTTATTATAGTGAATAGCTGAGGTAGTGTGCATTCCGAGATAATATGATGAAGACAGAAGGCTCATCGGGAAAAATCGAGTTGTACTCGTGAATTTTCGAGCTGGTGACACCAACCGGTCGTCAGACGAGTACAACTCGATTTTTTCCGACGAGCCTTCTGTCTTCATTTATGATAGTTTTTGACATCACGTGACTACATCCATTCTCATACTTGGCCGTCAGATTAGGCATTCGATGTGTTCGCTTGAAATAAGATACTCATATACGGACGAAGCGTGGTGTTGTGGGCAAACGCAGAGCCCTTGATTTCGTCTCCAGTCGCCCGTATAGGGGAGAAAAGCTTCTTTGCGAGAAAAGGAAAAAGCCTACTGGCTATCGGACTCAACCCAGAGACGAGTATTCATTATCATTTCCAGTGTAGAGTCACTTTCGATAAAATGACCGATCAGAACCGTGGATCACGTCTGTACGAACTACAGCGGCTTGAATTCCGGCCTCATGCCGGAACTCTCCATCTAGTCTTCGTCATAAATTTACCGCCGCCATATTGTAGCCTGCAGCGACGATAAAACCATTAACGACAGCTGTCGCCGCTGAGCAGATGTTCACTGACCGGCGTCGTTCCTCGTGGCGTGGAGGTCAGCCAGAGACAGCGTTGTCTGGCTGAAGTTCATAGGGTCGCAACGTCCTCCTACTGGTCACGATAGCTCGTTAGCCAAATCGTGACAAGAGGGCAGTCGCCAGCACAAATAAATTAGATAAATCTGCTCACTCACGCAATTCGTGTCTGCGTGCCTGCTCAATCAGACCGCTGATCTCGAGTTCCGACTTCTCGCCGACCCCCCCCCCCGAGACCACGGGTCAGGTTCTAGTAGTAACCATAGCCTGAGCGACACTAATGACACCAGCTTGTTCACTTGCGTGTGTTGTTGCTGCCCCGGCTACCTGCTGCTGGTGTTGAGTGAGGGTGAGAGACACGTATGCGGGTAGCACTTTGATCGGTCGGGGTTTGGCTCAGTGGCCAAAATGATCACATGTTCGGCCGCCGGATCCGGGCGGAGTAACATGTTCGGGCTCGCAAAGCGCTGTTACCATCGACTGCAGGACGCGACATCCAAGGCACACCCATCTCTTAACTCGTTAACGACTCTCTCCTCTCTCCTATCTCACCCACAATCTATGTCGTCTTCGTGTCTCTGAAACCAGTAACTTACCGGTGCAGTCCTCATCTGGCAGAGCCGGAAGTAGCATTAACTGATTTTTAGTTACCAGCTCGTTGAAGAGAGATCGATGTCCCCTTGTAATGTGACTTCTCTTTTCCATCACCTCTTCCAGAGGCCAAGGAAGCAGAACCGAAGCTGAAGACGTCAACAAATTCATCCAATCCCAATTCCCTGTTCTCCCAAACTCGTTTTTCTTCATTCCCTTTTGTTACTGTGAACACCCAGATTATACCAGATGCCTATTTAATAAAACGCTATATGCGCGCCTAGTTTCATCCCGTGTTCTCTTGGTTTTTTTTAAGATAAGGAGAGCGTACGAAGTCTGATTGAAGTCGGTAGGATCAGGGTTTTTAGCTACTTCTGGTTGCAAAACGAATCATCAAAGACTTTTGGGGTATTACACGCGTTTGTGTAGCCTGGTAAAGCCGTCATGTGGTTAGGTTGGACGTATTTAGGTAGGCTCGCAATATGATGACGTCCCTCTGTGCGTTTTCGATTTCAATAAGTAGATAGTCTTCGCGATCCCAAGTGCTTTGGAGTTAAATACCGGTCCGGTAACTAGTAAAATCAGAGTACCATGGTAGTGATCACAATTTGATGAAAAAAATATGAAGTTCATTGTTCATAATATAAAAGGGTGACTTTTTCCTAAACCCATTAATTTCTCCGTGTTCATATTAGCTAGCCGATGGCGAACCTTGATCACACTTGTTCATTTGGACTGTCAGATTCAAATAACCCCCCGTGGTACTTAGAGGAAGGTTGAAATTATTACTTTTTCCCCGTAAACTCAGTAAGATTTCACGATTACAGCTGCATGCTTGTCTTAATCGACCAGTTTTCTAAATGAGGCATAAAATAACAAGCGGAGCGTCTACACCTTGAACGCAGTCCGGGGAAAAAATCCACCAGTGGTAACAGTTTTTTGAATCAACGAAAAATCGATAAAACTAATGAGCGCAGAACTGTATAGTACGAGCTCCGTGTTGACAGTACGACTTAATTAGACAAAGCGATATCGCTAAGGCGATTTTTACGCAGCAAAAAATATATTTTGAAATGTTACTAATTTCCTTAGTGGTGGGTTTTTTGCTCGATTTCTGGAGCGCTAGTCGACCTCCTCAATGCTTCACTGATCCGCCCAGCACGAAGTTTAAGTATGCAGACACTCGATGAGATGAGAGCTCTTAGCGAAATCGGTAATGATAAAGTCACAGAGTTCTTCAATCTGAAGTCCTCTCTTAGCTCAAAAACCCAGCTAGCAGGCAAGTGGTCGCGTGCTCGATGACGTCATCCCGCATACACACGACGCCAAACCTAGCGCCCGCAGCTGCCCGAGTTAGCCGTACATATGCGTCGTTCATGCAGCGAGTCAACGCTAACCAATTTCGAGCAGGTACGTGGATCAAACCCGCTCTGTTGTGCGTCAACGTCCGGTCGCTTCACTCCTCCAGGAGTGCCACAGCGGCAGCCACTTCATGCCTCTTTCGGCAAACGGTACAGGGTTCTCTGCTGATCTGTCAAAGACTTCTCCATCGAGCGAAACAGCAGTCCTGACTGTACCAGGCTGGATCATATCGGAAACAACAGAACGACACACGAATAAGGTGGGCTAACCGGAACGGGTTTATTTGGACGCTGACGTATCGAAGAGCTTGGTCGGCTCTCCATTGTCAAAGCGTAAAGTGCGCTGAATCGACCAGAAAACCAAATGGTATATAACGTTGGCCGGCCTTGTGCTGATCGATTTTCCTCTCCTTTTTGACAATGGAGAGCCGACCAAGCTCTTCGAAACGTCAGCATCCGAACAAACCCGTTCCGGTGAGCCCATCTTATTCTTCAACTCATCAACTCGGATCTCTTAACCTTGCCAATCAGAACGACACAGGCCTTAGTAGGTGGGCGAGTGGCTTCTCTGCAGGAGACGGCGACGAAATTAACACAAATGAGCAGTATCTCCGTTTCAGGGTACGCGATCTAAATGACACATCCACTGACCTGGTCGCAGTTTCCTCGGCTGTGTCGTCATTCCCTGAGGTTCGGAAAAGGTTTTAGGCCTGTCTCCACTCGAAAACTGACAATTGAACCGTCGCAAACGACGATTTCCCCCGTGTGTCCCGCAGCATGATGGATGCACGTTAATTAGTTTATACTAGTAATGGACTCGTCAATTAAGTTGGCCGAAAACCGGCTCTCGGCCGAGTAACTTCACAGTGACTCGATCAGCCAGTTATTAAGTAGGTCTGAATATGGACGCGGAACAAAAATCACACACCCACACGCAGGTATCAGCATGACACACAATAAGTTGACTGTCGTCTGCGACCGGATCCGCAGCTGCTTAAGGCGTGAATTTGTTTATAATGAAGCACACCTGTGCGGGATCCGCCCCATCCTCGCTCTCTCTCTCTCGCACACGCCGCGCACCCCTTTTGTCATAACGGCAAGATAAAATCAAGATGACTGGCGATGGGGATGGGTGCAGCCGCCAGCGATGAAGAAGCCGTCTGCGCGTGCCACACATGACCTGTTTCCCGCTTCACATTTATCCGTCCTCGGTCAGATGTTCTCAGATCTCACTTAAGTAAGGGACTACTTGAAGCCATACTAAGAAGCAGTCACTGCAGCCTGACCCTCAGTTTCTGGAAGAGCCTAGTTGGCAACCCCTCCGGCCACGACTACTACTTCAGCACGATGGTTTAAAACGCATATGATCTTTTATAGTGGGGAACTAATCGCCGGATCGACCTCCTTCTCTCCCCTGTCACATAAACCATTAGTCTGTCCGATTTAAGCCGACTAGAAAAAGGACTGGACTGAGTGGCTGATGGTGGTGGTGGTGGTGGTGGGGGGTGGTAAACGAGGGGAGGAGGAGGAGGAGGAGGAGGAGGAGACTTTGAGAGATCAGTTGCCAAAATTGTCTCATAATTTTTTTGGGCTTTCGGGATCGGACTGTAGCCCATTGTAAGAGGGCACTATTTTTATTTTCACAATACCTTATCTGCGACTGTCCCTGGAGTGTCGGAGGCCATTCGAAAAACACGCAGTACCGGGGCGAAGTCATCGTCCAAAGCTTCACGTTTACCTTGTGATGGCTATGCAGTGTGAGTGTGTATGTCTGTACTCAGAGCGCTACTATCGTCAGGCCTAATCCTAGTGTTGGAAGAAGACGGAGGGCTTCCGACTTGCTGCCATCGCCGCGGTTGTGTCTTACGCCTTAT